GAGACGATGTTATAGACCAAAAACAGAAGACTGAAGTATGAAGAGGAAAGTGAGGAAGGAGGAGGAAAGCAAAGAACAATAGGGAAAAACCACCAAGAAGGGAGAGAGAGAAGAGAAGAGAGAGAGCATGGGAGAGGGAGAGAGGGAGAAAGAGAGAAGAGAGGGAGAGAGGGAGAAAGAGGAAAAAAAAAAGGCTTTTTCCCAGAGAAGCACTCGGGTTTTTATCTTGTCTCCACCCATTCCCTCTTCTCCTCTCTCCCTCTTCTTCCCTCTTTCCTCTCTCTCCCTCTCTGTCTCTCTCTCCTGTCTCTCTTCTCTCTCTCTCTCTCTCTCTCTCAGACTTGAGGAGTCTTACCCAGTCACATGCTTCCCTCTAGTGTCTAAACGCTGATACACATTTCATTCTATTAAAAAAAAAAAAAATCATAAATTGTCTCGTAGCCGCTGCAGAACCCAACCTACCTTTAATTTTAAATATAATCAAGACAGAACCACAAGGTAAAATAATCATCCAGCGTGGCTGGCCCTTTACAACTTGGGGTTTATTCTTGTTTCTCAAAGTCGTTAGGCAAGAGAGTTAGGATCTGGCTCTCCCCGGGGCAGGGCTCCCTGCTCTGGTGCTGCTGGAGCAGCTGCCCCACTGGAAGAAGGATGGGGCGGGTGCTCCATGGTGGTGCTGCCCCTGCCTTGATCCTGTCCCAGCAACCGCTACATCTGGGCAAGGAGGGCGCGCTCCATCAATCCGGGAATTCCCCCCTGCCCTAGGCATGATGGGATTTTAGAAAGTGACCCAGAGTGACTAAGAGCATTAATATGCCATCAACGTGGATCTGCATTGCGGTTCACCCTGCCCCAACAGGTGGGCTTTCCTAGAGAAGCTGTATATATATATATACTCAGACGGCATTTTGAGGACACCTGTCGATCATGGATAACATCCCACATCTCGCGAGAACCTGCCCCAGGACCGGCCCGATAAAAGGAACCAACGGGAGACTTCAGAGTGAGGGGGTGAGTGGGTTTGTCTCCCTCCACCTCTCACAGACAGGCTGTTTTATTCTACAGGAAAGGAGTTGAGCACCGGGGTAACAGTCCGTCATTCTTCGGCCAGGAGCACACCAGGAACCGAGGGCCGGCTGCCACCTGGCTTCTCTGGGGCCGTGACTCGGATCTCCCTGACGGAGCGACCTGGATCCCGGAGCCCCTCGGACAGCCAGGTGAGTGTGGCGTCTTCACAGACCCGACACCCGGCCTGCGTGCGGTACGGTGACGTATTTCCACAATATTTCTGAGAAGTTTCAACATAAAGACTGGCTCCGTCCTCCATCTGGTCGGCTCTTTCAAAGTTGTTAGGTAGATACTGTGTTTCCCTGAAAATAAGACAGGGTTTTATATTTAGTTTTCCTCAAGAAGACACCCTAGGGCTTATTTTCAGGGGATGTGTTATTTTTTTTTTTTTTAAGTATGGGACAACCATCTACATGTATTCAAATAGAGTTGAGTCGTCTTCTTCTGGAACATCATCATCACTCTCCAAACCCCAAATCCCATCCTGAATTTCTTGTGACTCTATTTCCTTTAGAACCGTCGGCCCCAATCTCTCATGTGGAGCAACAGAGCTCTCACGGGGCAGATGAGAAAGGCTGCTCGTCGTCTTTCCCGCTCCACGACGACATGCACGGGTTGTGCAGACGCGCTGCGCAGCCACGCCCGTCACTAGGTCCTATTTTCGGGGTAGGGCTTCTATTGTGCAAATGCTTAAAAATCCCGCTAGGGCTTGTTTTATGGGCAGGTCTCATTTTCGGGGAAACACGGAACTTAGGGTCTCCGGCTCTTCTCGGGACAAGGGTGACCTGCTGTGGTGCTGTCTCCGGCCATCTGGTCTGTGGGCTGTTTGGTTCGGTTTTGTGTCTCACAAGTTTAGCTGGAATGGTCACTTCTCACCGTGAGCCGTAACGGATAGACCTTACTTGTCACTGTCTCTGGGATAATTAAGAGTTCTCTTTGAGAGCAGAGTACGTATTAAATCACTCCAGGCGGTTCTGTATTTCAACACAGGAGTGGATTTACGTTTCAGAACCATCCACGTTATTAAACAAGCCCATCAGCATCCGTACCTATGGGATAACATCACACGCGCCCAGGAAGAGAAAACAGACATGTTGGCGTTGCCCAGTGTCACCTTTGGGAGCTCAGAGGGTGGATAGGAGGCCCATTATCTCTGCAGGGCACAAACGAGCCCCAGGGAGGAGTTTGGGGGGGGCCAGGTGTTTCCAAGTGTCCAGTGGTTCTCCACCCAGGTTCTTTCCATCCGAAGACTCTCTGAGCCACAATTTGGCCCCACATATTTGCAAGACTCCTTTAACAGTCTGCAGTAGAAACGGAGAACGGGTCTACGTGGAATAACTGCATTTTCCGGACATTTCACATATTTTTTTTCCTGGCATCGATCCTTTTGGAGGGATTGGCCCATGTTTTTTCTAATACTTACAAAGCTCTTATGCAACAAGAGTTGCATTAATTAGCAAGAGGTCAGTCAGATTTAAAAGTTGGTTAAGAAAATCTTCCAGCTGCCCACCAGGCCCGCAAGGAGCCTGGAGGTCATCACCGCGTCCTGTCAACCAGTGAAAGCTGAGCCCTGTGTAAATGGTGGGGTCTGGGTGACAAGGTGTGTCAGTGACGTAGATGCAGGGATGGCAACTAGAGCAGCCGTCTGCGGGGAGCTGGGGGCAGTTGTTGATGAGAAGGCCGTTGGGGGGCAAGGAGATTTGGGGGGAAATTTCTGTACCTTCTGCTCAATCATGCTACAAACCCAAAACTGCTTTTTAAAAAAAAAAAAAAATTTTTTTTAATTAAGCAGAGAAAAAAATGCCAACAACTATACTTTAGGCTCACCTGCACACACGTGAGTTATTCTTCAACACTTTCCGGGAAGGACAGGTGCTTCCTCTGGGCTTGGCCCCCTGACAGCTGTTTCTCTTCTTCCCTGAATCCACACCCATCAAGCACGGGAGAAGTCCAGTTGTTCCTTAAAACAGATCGATAAGTTACATTTAAAGATACCTGAGAATCCATCTAGAATTTTTTTTTAAGGTTTCATGGCCATTTGTAGTTTTCTCACACACGTCTCACTCAATGGCACTTTCTGGTTACTTTTATTTTAGTCCTTCCAAAGCGTTCGATTAACTTTATAGAAATAATGCAGCTCGCCTATTCTTTTTGGGTCTTGTGTTTCATGGGTTTAATCTCGTGTTTCGTTAAATGATAAGATGACACTCAGTTACAGAAGGCAGGGGTCGAGGGACAGGCTACCTTCAGGAACCACCGCCAGGTGGCCGGGGACCCGTGTGGAGTGGCTGACCGCCAGCCGTGGGCGCCACGAGCCCCGGACACTGGTCTGAGATGGTGACGGGTCTGGTTCACGTGGCAACGTCTGCAGAGGGGACACACGGGGTTGCCGGGGCAGCCCCCCCCACCCCGTCCCCCGGGAGGGCCCTTTAGGGCACGGTGGAAAGTGACATCCCCATGGCCTCACACAGAACAAGTATCCAGGAAACAGCTGTTGAATGAACAGTGTTGACCACTTCAGTACGGCGCTCACCGGCTGCGACACCTGGCCCGCAGCCGGCACTCACGGTCGCACGGCAGTCTGTGCTGTGCATTGACGGCGGGTCCGTCTTGCTCTTGTGTGATGAGGGAAGCTTGAAAGCACTGAGAGCTTGTTTCACTTTACAGGCAGCTTTACTTGTCACGTAAATATCAGAATAGGCAACACAGACATATATGTTTTCATGACGTTATTTTTAAATGTTCACAATTTTATCTTGATACATGAAAAATTAGAAGAGTCGTATCACGGCTGTCGGCTATAGTCGATGCTCGTAACCGAAGTGGTTAATAACCCTGAGCGTTCTGGTTGTTGAATGGACTCAACATCACCTGGAGTCTCTCTGGAGGTAGGCAGAGGCCACGTGTTGGGAGACAGGCAAGAAACTAGTGACCACCAACACATCATGTCCACCAGATTTGTCCCAGCATCAAAGAGATTCTCGAAATACTGGAGTTGAACTTCCTTATGCAGGAGATGTTTGTGGTGTCTATTCTGAACTCCAGCAGGCAGAAACGGTGTAAGATAGCTGGCTCTTGCCAGTCATCCACACCTGTCACTCACAGGTACAGGTGCGAGTCCCTGTGGCCATGAAGTTGGGGCTGACCTCAAAGCAATGCGTGTGGCTCAAAACAGACACGCTAAGTCTACACCTTTGGATGACAGAGATTTCCATTTTCACGTATTTGAAAATTCAGTTAAAAAAAAAAAGTAAATCAAAGGCTCAGACGTTTTGATGAACTTTAAGTTTTACCCAATTATTATATAGATAATAACCCTCGTTATTTTTAAAAA